GGTAAGAGCATGAATCCTACACACCAGACAGCTTCACACTTAACATCTCACACTGAAAGCACACACACACACACACACACACACACACACACACACACACACACACACACACACACACACACACACACACACACACACACACACTGAAAGCATTAACAGACCTAACAACAGGTATACGTCACATTACTGTCTGTGTGGGGAGGGGGGTTGCTAGTATGTGGGTTTCTCTGTGTGTGTCTATGTGTGTGTTGTATGGCAATTAATTTTAATCCTACCAATCCTCCCATACACACGCAACAGACACACAGCCATGTCCATGGCACACTGTTTATGGAGAGGCTCTGGTCTAAAGACTCTGGTTTAAATGCAACGTGTCATGATCCTAACATCCAAACATATCAGTGTCAATGTTGGTGACAGAGTGAGCTCATGAGTCACTACGGAAGTCAGTGCTAATGCCAAACTGTGTGAGTGTGAATGTGTGTGCCGTGCGCGCAACAGGAAATTAAGGCAATTATTCAATAACAAAGCCGCTTTGACATTCTTACATTCTTCTGTTGCCTTAGCAACATAGAGGGTCACATAAACTCACAAGGTCATGATCAAAGAGCCTATTATCTCTCTCTAATGATCTATCAATGACTGGAACACAGACACAAACACACAATAGAACAAGTACAGAGAGATCAATACAACATCTATACAGCTGGGAAGGACAGGAGTAAGAGATGAAGGAAGGAGAAAAGAAAGATGGACAGAACAAAAGAGAGAGAGAGAGAGAGAGAGAGAGAGAGAGAGAGAGAGAGAGAGAGAGAGAGAGAGAGAGAGAGAGAGAGAGCGAAAGATCTGAGAGGACCTTAATGTGCTCTAAAACCCCAGTGAAAGGAGCAAGGCACACTAAAATACCATCTGGCCATTTGAAATAGATGAGAAAAGGACTGGGTTCTCTGGGTTGCATAAAGGAGTATGTCAGCTGTGAAATTAGCATCAGGGCACCTCGAGCCACTGGCCAGACAAACAGAGAGAGAGAGAGAGAGAGAGAGAGAGAGAGAGAGAGAGAGAGAGAGAGAGCACCTAGATCGTCTGCACAGATTCAGTCAGACCTGGACCCTGACAGTAAATCTCAGTTGCTAGGACCACAAATACAAACTCCATCTAGACACTGTTGCCATAGAGCACACAAAAAACTATACATACTTCGGCCTAAACTCAGCGCCACAGGTAATGATCTGAGAGGCAGGAAGGGCCTTCTACGCCATCAAAAAGAACATACAATTTGACATACCAATTAGGATCTGGCTAAAAATACTTGAATCAGTTATATAACCCATTGCCCTTTATGGTTGTGAGGTCTGGGGTCCGCTCACCAACCAATAATTCACAAAATGGGACAAACACCAAATTGAGACTCTGCATGCAGAATTCTGCAAAAAATATCCCCCGTCTACAACGTAAAAGCAGAATTAGGCCGATACCCGCTAATTACCAAAAAACAGAAAAGAGCCGTTGAATTCTATAACCACCTAAAAGGAAGCGATTACCAAACCTTACATAACAAAGCCATCACCTACAGAGAGATGAACCTGGAGAAGTGTCCCCTAAGCAAGCTGGTCCTGGGGCTCTCTTCACAAACACAAACAGACCCCACAGAGCCCCAGGACAGCAACACAATTAGACCCAACCAAATGATGAGAAAACAAAAAGAGAATTACTTGACACATTGGAAAGAATTAACAAAAAAACAGCAAACTAGAATGCTATTTGGCGCTGAACAGAGAGTGAGGCAGAATACCTGACCAGTGTAACTGACCCAAAATTAAGGAAAGCTTTGACTATGTACAGACTCAGTGAGCATAGCCTTGCTATTGAGAAGACAGGCTATGTGCACACTGCCCACAAAATGAGGTGGAAACTGAGCTGCACTTCCTAACCTCCTGCCAAATGTATGACCATATTAGAGACACATATTTCCCTCAGATTACACAGACCCACAAAGAATTCGAAAAACAAATCAAATTTTGATAAACTCCCATATCTATTGGGTGAAATACCACAGTGTGCCATCACAGCAGCAATATTTGTGACCTGTTGCAACAAGAAAAGGGCAACCAGTGAAGAACAAACACCATTGTAAATACAACCCATATTTATGTTGATTTACTTTCCCTTTTGCACTTTAGCTATTTGCAGATCGTTACAACACTGTATACACTGCATTCTCAAAGTATTTAGACCCCTTCACTTTATCCACATTTTGTTACGTTATAGCCTTATTCTAAAATTGATTAAATTGTTTTTTTTCCCTCATCAATCTACACACAATACCCCATAATGACAAAGCAAAAACAGGTTTTTCGATATGTTTGCACATTTATTTAAAAAAAGAAAACTAAAATATCACATTTACATAAGTATTCAGACCCTTTACTCTGTACTTTGTTGAAGCAACTTTGGCAGCAATTACAGCCTCAAGTCTTCTTGGGAATGACGCTACAAGCTTGGCACACCTGTATTTGGGGAGTTTCTCCCATTCTTCTCTGCAGATCCTCTCAAGCTCTGTCAGGGCGGATGAGGAGTCTCTCAAGTCTCTCAGGTCTCTCAAGAGATGTTTGATCGGGTTCAAGTCTGGGCTCTGGCTGGGCCACTCAAGGATATTCAGAGACTTGTCCCGAAGCCACTCCTGCATTGTCTTGGCTGTGTGCCAGTTTGAGGTCCTGAGTGCTCTGGAGCAGGTTTTCATCAAGGATCTCTCTGTACTTTGCTCTGTTAATCTTTCCCTCGATCCTGACTCGTCTCCCAGTCCCTGCCGCTGAAAAACATCCCCACAGCATGATGCTGCCACTACCATGCTTCACCGTAGCGATGGTATTGGCCAGGTGATGAGCGGTGCCTGGTTTCCTCCAGACGTGACACTTGGCATTCAGGCCAAAGAGTTTCGACAAACTCCTAGCGGGCTGTCATGTGCCTTTTACTGAGGAGTGGCTTCCATCTGGCCACTACCATAAAGACCTGATTGGTGGAGTGCTGCAGAGATGGTTCTCCTTCTGGAAGGTTCTCCCATCTCCACAGAGGAACTCTGGAGCTCTGTCAAGAATGATCATCGGGTTCTTGGTCACCTCCCTGACCAAGGCCCTTCTCCCCCGATTGCTCAATTTGGCCGGACGGACAGTTTGGTGGTTCCAAACTTCTTCCATTTAAGAATGATGGAGGCCACTGTGTTCTTGGGAACCTTCAATGCTGCAGACATTTTTTGGTACCCTTCCCCAGACTCAACACAGTCCTGTCTTGGAGCTCTACGGACAATTCCTTCGACCTCATGGCTTGGTTTTTGCTGTGGGGCCTTATATAGACAGGTGTGTGCTTTTCCAAGTCATATCCAATCAATTGAATTTACCACAGATGGACTCCAATCAAGTTGTAGAAACATCTCAAGGATGATCAATGGAAACAGGAAGCAGCTGAGCTCAATTTCGAGTCTCATAGCAAAGGGTCTGAATACTTACGTAAATACTTGTTTTAATAAATTTGCTAAAATATCGAAAACCTGTTTTCGCTTTGTCATTATGGGGTATTGTGTGTAGATTGATGAGGAAAAAAATGTATTTAATCCATTTTAGAATAAGGCTGTATTGTAACAAAATGTAGAAAAAGTGAAGTTGTCTGAATACTTTCCGAAAGCACTATTCTGTACTTTAACTATTTGCACATAATTATAACACTGTATATAGCCATAATATGACATTTGAAATGTATTTCTCTATTCCTTTGGAACTTTTGTGATTTACTGTACATTTTTTATCGTTTATTTCACTTTTGTTTATTATCCATTTCACTTGCTTTGGCAATGTAAACATATGTTTCCCATGCCAATAAAGCCCTTTGAATTGAATTGAATTGAGAGAGAGTACTGCAGGGGCACTGGGGCTGGCGGGAGAGAAGGAGGGATGGGGAGGGGAGAGATGGGGGGGGGGGGGGGGGGGGGGGGGGGGGGGTATGTGCTGGAGTCTGAGAGGTTGTGGTTGGGCTCAGGGGAGGAGAGGAAGAAGCAGACAAGGATAGAGGGCTGAGAAAGGACAATGGAGAGAGTGAGGCAGATGCAAGCAAGGCAAAAAGCAATGGAAAGCAGGTGGGAGGAGAAGATAGGGTGATTGATGTGATGACCTGGGAACTAGGCGATGTGCTTTGTGTACAAGATGAGGAGGAGGTGGTGTGTGTGTGTGTGTGTGTGTGTGTGTGTGTGTGTGTGTGTGTGTGTGTGTGTGTGTGTCCATGCCAGACTCAGACAGCTGAGGGGTGTCGTGACTGCAGCCTCAGACTGCCCCCCCCCCCCTCCCGAGACAGTGGTCTGCATGTCAACACACACACAGCAGCCTGAGTGTCTCTGTTTATCCCTCCCTCCCTCCCTCCCTCCCTCCCTCCCCTCCCTTTCTGACACATTATCTCTCTCACACCACAAATGTTATCTTTTCACTGCCTCTTTCTGGCTCTCTCTGTTTGTGTCTCTCAGTCTCTCTGTCTCATCTAGGGGCTACCCTAGACACTGATATCAGTCTCCAGAATTGGACTACTGTAATGAATTGGGAATGTTTTATGAACATTTCTAGGGATAGGGTTGCTGGGAGGACATTTATGAGGTAAAGAAAGGAGATTTGAAACTCTTGTAGAATTGGAAGTCAGTAGCATTACTGTGAATTCAAGATTCTGTCTTGTCACTCTTGTCAAGCCTCAACATCTCCCCTTCTCTCTCTCTCTCTCTCTCTCTCTCCTCTCTCTCTCTCTCTCTCTATCTCTCTTCTCTCCTCTCTCTCTCTCTCTCTCTCTCTCTCTCTCTCTCTCTCTCTCTCTCTCTCTCTCTCTCTCTCTCTCTCTCTCTCTCTCTCTCTCTCTCTTACCTCGTCCTGTAGTCCAGTGTTCTCTCTTCTCAGTAGCTGCAGTTCTGTTCTCGGCCTGGCTCAGATCTAGCGCCCCCACTGTTGCTGGGAGTGCTGTTAGTGCACGTGTTAGCCTCTCTCTTTAGCGCTCCTCTCCTCCTGCACCTCCCTCAGTCTCACCTCCAGTCTCTGCACCTCCTCTCTGAGCTCCTGTGTGGCTGAGTGGTCCTGGGAGAACAGCTAGAGAGAGACACAGCAACACACACATCATAGAGCTGTATTACCTGGAACAGACAAACAAAGAACAGAAATAGTCCTGAGTTGACAGCGTTGACCATTAGACAAGCGTTTGTGATAAATGCAGGTAACACAGTCTCTACACTCTGTCTGTCTGTTCTGTCTGTATGTCTGTCTGTCTGTCTGCGTCTGGTCTGTCTGTCTGTATGTCTGTCGTCTGTCTGTATGTCTGTCTGTCTGTCTGTATGTCTGTCTGTCTGTCTGTCTGTCTGTTTGTGTCTCAGTCTGTGTGTCTGTCTGTCTGTCTGTCTGTCTGTCTGTCTGTCTGTCTGTCTGTCTATCTGTTTCTGTCTGTCTGTGTGTCTGTGTGTCTGTGTGTCTGTCTGTGTCTGTCTTTCTGTCTATCTGTCTGTCTTTGTCGGTCTGTCTGTCTGTGTCTGTCTGTCTCTCTGTCTGTCTGTGTCTGTCTGTCTGTCTGTCTGTCTGTCTGTCTGTCAGTCTGTCTGTCTGTCTGTCTGTCTGTGTCTGTCTGTCTGTCTGTCTGTCTGTGTCTGTGTCTGTGTCTGTGTCTGTGTCTGTCTGTGTCTGTGTCTGTGTCAGTGTCAGTGTCAGTGTCAGTGTCTGTGTCTGTCTGTCTGTCTGTCTGTCTGTCTCCTTGTCTATCTGTCTGTCTATTTCTCTCACTCTCTTCGTCTTCTCCCGTCAGTCTATCTATCTATCCTGTTCCAGCCTCAGGCTGACAGAGGCATCACTTCTGGATCAGTGGATCTGAGTGGATCCTCCACCCTGCATCTCCCTTCTACCAGTGACTACCAGAGCAACGCACGCAAGCACGCACACACACACACACACACACACACACACACACACACACACACACACACACCACACACACACCACACACACACACACACACACACACAACACACCACACACACAACACACACACCCAACACACACACACACACACCACACACACACACACTGCCTTGCCTACAGGGCCATGTTGGAGCCCTTGCACACACAGATCAGACACCCATTACACCCAGAAACACAGACTAATTCCTGGAGGGCAGACAGACAGACAGACAGACAGACAGACAGACAGACAGACAGACAGACAGACAGACAGACAAGACAGACAGACAGGCAGACAAGGAGACAAGGAGACAGACATACAGACAAGGAGACAGACAGACAGACAAGGAGACAAGGAGACAAGGAGACGGACATACAGACAAGGAGACAGACAGAGATGGAGCCAGATTGACAGGGAGAAAAGAGGGACATTCTGTTCAATCTTGTTATCAGAACCTTGTGCTTGCCTGCAGACCTAGAGGCCCCTGTGTTACTCCCTGCTTGACTGTGTCTGTCTGACTGTCTGACTGTTGTCTGTCTGTCTTATTGTCTGTCAATCTGTCATCTCTCCTACATTCAGATAACTACAATAACTAAGGGGGGACAGAGAGAGGGAAAGAGAGACAGTAGTGGTAGTTAAATGGTATTGACTGCTCCTTTCAGGACTGTGATTGATACAACATACACAGAAGCCAGTAACCATCTCTGTAGCACTGCTACTGTTACCTTCCTCTGCAGCTGCTCCTTCTCTCTCTGCTACTGCTACCTTCCTCTGCAGCTGCTCCTTCTCTCTCTGCTACTGTTACCTTCCTCTGCAGCTGCTCCTTCTCCTCACTGCTACTGTTACCTTCCTCTGCAGCTGCTCCTTCTCTCTCTGCTACTGTTACCTTCCTCTGCAGCTGCTCCTTCTCTCTCTGCTACTGTTACCTCCCTTGCACTGATCCTTCTCTCTCTGCTACTGTTACCTTCCTCTGCAGCTGCTCCTTCTCTCTCTGCTACTGTTACCTTCCTCTGCAGCTGCTCCTTCTCTCTCTGCTACTGTTACCTTCCTCTGCAGCTGCTCCTTCTCTCTCTGCTACTGTTACCTTCCTCTGCAGCTGCTCCTTCTCTCTCTGGTACTGCAGCAGCAGCTCCTGACTCTTCTCCCTGTCAATCACCAGCTCTAACCCCGCCTCCCTCTTTAGCTCCTCTTCCTGCTCCTTCAGACGCACGGCATTCTGGGTCCTCTGCTCCTCCAGAGCCGCCTGTAGCTGGGGATTTGGACATATGAGACTTTACAACAAGCACCTGTGCACACACACACACACACACACATGCTCATTCACACATGCATACAGACACGCACTGGAAATATGACACAAACATTACAGGCTGTGTACTCAGCTTAGCGTGAAATAGCTGAGTGATGAACACCAGAGTAGAGAAAACAGTCCCTCTACTTATCAATCAATCAATCAAATTGTATTTATAAAGCCCTTTTTACATCAGCAGATGTCACAAAGTGCTTATTCAGAAACCCGGCCTAAAACCCCAAACAGCAAGCAATGCAGATGTAGAAGCACTGTGGCTAGGAAAAACTCCCGTATCTCTTTCTTTCGCCACCCTCCTCTTTTTTCCCTCCCGTCTCTATGCTTCCTTATTTTACTCTGATTTGGCAGTTCTTTCAATTATTTTATTTGCTGAGGAGAAAATTGAGACAGCTCGCGCTGCAAAAAAAGATTGTCACAGAGCACTACATTCACTTGAGTGTTTTGACCCAGATGGGCCGTTCTCACCAGAAGTGGGCAGTGAAATATTGAATTGTTGGGGATATAAAAATTAAATTAAATTAAAAATAAAAACTATTGTTGTTAAGGAAAAACAACAAGGGGGCTGGTGGCATGCAATGTATTCTTAGTTAGGCTTGGCCAAGGCCACCATATTTTTCAAAGAGCAGGAGAGATCAGAGGCTGCGTGTGAGGGCACTGGGGTGGGGCGAGTGTATGTGTGTGTGAGAGTGTGTGTGTACATAGTGAGTGTCTCTGTATGCAACTGCCTATGTACAGACTTGCGTGTATGTACAGCACAGTACGTGTAGGAATGACAGATTTTGTGTGACCACTTCCTTCTCTCTGGCTACATGCCCGTGTGAGGGACAGGGGTGGAGTGTGTGTGTGTGTGTGTGTGTGTGTGTGTGTGTGTGTGTGTGTGAGTGAGTGTGTGTGTGTGTGTGTGTGTGTGTGTGTGTGTGTGTGTGTGTGTGTGTGTGTGTGTGTGTGTGTGTGTGAGTGAGTGTGTGAGTAAGTGAGTGTGTGTGAAAATGTGTGCGAGAGAGAGAGACCACTTCCTTCTCTCTTGGTGAGCATCCGTGTGAGGGGCAGGAAACCGGAGGGAGAGCAGTGTAATTTTCGGGGAATCAGAAGGCATTCCTCTTAATACTGCCGTGCTGAGGCTGAAACCTCACTAACCCTCCCTAACCCCCACCACCAGACTGCCGCAGGGGATAACACCAATAAAACAAATACAACACACATTTCAGCTGTGGAGGCGTGAGAGCGTGTTGTGTCTTCACTGCACAGAGAGCTTGGTGTGAGAGAGACTGGACTGGTGGTCATCACCTCCTCTGACCTGGAGTGGGTTAGAATGTTTTTCTGCCTTTATTTAAAACATGGGACTTTGTATCTCTGCTGAGGCCATTCTGTGGTGTTGAAGGGAGGGAGGAAGACAGGAGATTAAGTTATCCTAGACTATAGGAACCACAGTGTACTCTTTCATTACCTTGAAGGGCAGCTCCTGTCTGTAGTCGTCCTCCATCTTGGTCAAGGCTTTACGATGGTCCTCCATCATCCTCTCACTGTCAAAATCAATACAACATCCATACAACATCAATACAACATCCATACAACATCAATACAACATCAATACAACATCAATACGACATCAATACAACATGAATACAACATCAATAGAACATTCATACAACATAAATACAACAACAATACAACATCAATACAACATCTCACAATGAAAACACACAGCAGCACTCACTGTCTACTAAGCATGACATCATCATGCATTGATTATTACTAGTTGGAGAATCTAGAACTATTAAACACTACACTTTCCTCAACAACATAACATAACTACTATGCTGAACTAAAATATAAACATAACATGTAAAGTGTTGGTCCCATGTTTCATGAGCTGAAATAAAATTGTAAATATGCAGAAAAAGCTTATTTCTCACAAATGTTATGAACAAATCTGTTTACAACCCTGTTAGTGAGCATTTCCCCTTTGCCAAGATAATCCATCCACCTGACAGGTGTGGCATATCAAGAAGCTGATTAAACAGCATGATTATTACACAGACGCACCTTGTGCTGGGAACAGTAAAATGCCACTCTAAAATGTGTAGTATTGTCAAACAACACAATGGCACAGATGTCTCAAGTTTTGAGGGAGCGTGCAATTGGCATGCTGACTGCAGGAATGTCCACCAGAGCTGTTGCCAGAGAATGTAATGTTAATTTCTCTACCATAAGCAATGTCGTTTTAGAGAATTTGGCAGTACTTCCAACCGGTCTCACAACCACAGATCACGTGTAACCACGCCAGCCCAGGACCTCCACAGACCACGTGTAACCACGGCCAGCCCAGGACCTCCCAGACCACGTGTAACCACGCCAGCCCAGGACCTCCCCAGACCACGTGTAACCACGCCCAGCCCAGGACCTCCCCAGACCACGTGTTAACCACGCCAGCCCAGGACCTCCCCAGACCACGTGTAACCACGCCAGCCCAGGACCTCCCCAGACACGTGTAACCACGCCAGCCCAGGACCTCCCCAGACCAAGTTGTAACCACGCCAGCCAGGACCTCCCCAGACACGTGTAACCACGCCAGCCCAGGGACATCCCCAGACCACGTGTAACCACGCCAGCCCAGGACCTCCCAAGACCACGTGTAACCACGCCAGCCCAGGACCTCCCCAGACCACGTGTAACAACGCCCCCCCACCAGCCCCCAGGACCTCCCAGACCACGTGTACCACGCCCAGCCCAGGACCCCTCCCCAGACCACGTGTAACCACGCCAGCCCAGGACCCTCCCCAGACCACGTGTAACCACGCCAGCCCAGGACCTCCCCAGACCACGTGTAAACTATGCCAGCCCAGGACCTCCCCAAGACCACGTGTAACCACGCCAGCCCAGGACCTCCCCAGACCCACGTGTAACTATGCCAGCCCAGGACCCTCCCCAGACCACGTGTAACCACGCCAGCCCAGGACCTCCACATCCGGCTTCTTCACCTGCTGGATGGTCTGAGACCAGCCTCCCGGACAGCTGATGAAACTGTGGGTTGACACAACCGAAGAATTTCTGCACAAACGGTCAGAAACCTTCTCAGGAAGCTCATCTGCGTGGCTCCTCGTCCTCACCAGGGTCTGACATGATTGCCAGTTGGCGTCGTAACCGACTTCAGTGGGCAAATGCTCACCTTCGTGGCCCACTGGCATGCTGGAGAAGTGCGCTATTCACGGATGAATCCTGGTTTCAACTGTACAGGGCAGATGACAGACAGCATGTATGGCGTCGTGTGGACGAGAGGTTTGCTGATGCCAACGTTGTGAACAGAGTGCCCCATGGTGGGGTTATGGTGTGGGCAGGCAGGCATAAGCTACGGACAACGAACACAATTGCATTTATTGATGGCAATTTGAATGCACAGATATACTGTGACGAGATCCAGAGGCCCATTGTCGTGCCATTCATCGCCACCATCACCTCATGTTTCATCATGATAA